GGGGAGGGAGAGAGAGAGGGGGGGGGAGGGAGAGAGAGAGGAGATGTTCCATAAACAATAACAAGTTTTCCTACCCCACATCTCTCTCCTTTGCAAGTGGTTCACAAGTGGCTCTCTCAGGTTTAGATGCATCATTGCAAATTCTATATGCTGAAGATCAGATTTTTTATCTTCTCTGAAATGGTATAGGGCCGTGATGGCGAACCTATGGCATGTAGAGATGGCACACAGAGCCCCTCTGTGGACACAGTGCACTGTCGCCAGCTGCTCTTCCAGGTTCCATTGCACGAATGCGCACCGGACAGCTTTTAATCTTTCCTATAATATGTCATTTTCCCAGGAGAGGGGTGGGTGGTAACTTCCTACAGTTCCACCACAGTAAATTCCATTTCTGGATAGAAATGAAAGGCTGAGAAAATATACAGAAAAATGCGGGGGGGTGGGGGGGGGTTCAAGAGCGTGATGACAGGAGATTTCCTCAAAGAAGAATTATTGGCATAGTTTATCTTCCAAATGCCACAAGAGCCTCTGTTGCCTTTACCTCTGGAACTGTAATCTTCTTTCAGGATCTTGAACCAGCCTGTAAACAAGAGAAAAACATTAATGGGGTGGTGGAAGCCCACTAGCTGCCAGGTCGAGTGTGTCCAGTGGATGAATTCTGAGTTGGAATAATGAAGTGTGACTTCTGTAGCAAATGGACAAATTCACACACACACCAAGGCTTGGCAGGGCAGATCCTTCCCTTCTTCTCTTTCAACCGGACAACAAATAAACATATCTCAAGGGTGGGTCTGAGTAAACGGACGGGAAAAGCCACCATGACTTCAAATGCAAATGCACAGGTGGGGGATGATCCATAGCTCCTCTACCATATTGAACTTAAATTTGAATGAGTTGAGTGAGCATGAAAGAATAATTACATAGCAATGAAGTCTGTGAACTCCATTCAGAGCAGAGATTAAAGGCTAAAGAGGACAAAGTCTCTGGTCTTGTGTTATTTTCTCTTTCTTGTGGGAATCTGATCCACCAGTGTAGGAGCTTAAAACCCACCCCTCTCCTAGAAAAATGAAATATCCTGGGAAATATTGAAAAAAACAGAATATTATATTTCCCTGGATAAGAAATGGAGAAACAAACATGTTTTTAGGCAGGAAGCAGACTCACTCTTAATAGCCCCCACCTTTGTCCCTGGGCCACTAAAAAAGCCTGGGCCAGTGTATTCTACATAACAAAGATCCCCCCCTTCAGTTCCAGGGTGATGGGATTCAGGCTTGATAGTACTAGCCCTTTACCCATCTCACCACAGGGCACCTGGGAAGAAGCAATGCTGAACCAAACGTGGACTCCCAGCCTACAGAGTTGCCCCTGCATGGCCTCCATGGGAGCCTGACAACCAATCAGAATTACAAGCTCAAGATCAGAGGCCAGAGAGGACATAAAGCCAGGGACTTTCAGCATCTCTGTCTTGTCTTTTCTTCTCCACCCAACATCTGGAAGCATGTGATCACCTTTTCCCCCAGGACCTCAAACCATGTGATCCAATCCACCATTAAACCATCTTTCCAAGCAGTCATCATGTTTCCAGTGTCTTTTTCCCCACTTGGAACTGACCCCAGAAGGACATTTCTTCCAACACCAGAACAAAACTAAGAGATGTTCTTTCTCTTCTGCCTTAATATTCTTTGCGGGGGCAAAGGTGAAAGGGTGATATGAAAAGAAACAGATCACCTGGGGATAAACCAAGGGGAAAGAACATGTGGAAGAAAGAAATGTTGCTGGAATAAATGAGTGAGATGGAGACTGTTAGCGTGCCCAATCAAAATATCAGAACCCATAAAGCACATTTTTGATGCCTTCAAGTCATTGTGGATCCCTGGCGGATGCCTGGACAAGTCCCTGCAGTTTTCTCAGCCAGATTTCAGAAGAAGTTTGCCCTTGCCGCTTTCTTTCTAGGGGTTTCTAGAGAGGGGGACTGGCCCAAGGTCATCCAGCTGACTCTGTGGCTAAGGTTGAGACTAGAACTCACCATCTCCTGGTTTCTAGCCTGATGCCTTAACCACTACACCAAACTGGCTCTCTCTATATATATTTACACAATTAAAAATTAAAATTGATGCATATGCAGCCGGTACTACTTCTCACGGTTGCTTGATGGGATTTGAGTAGCGTTATTTTTCAACACAGGCTGGCAAATAAATTTAATTTCACAGACCCCTGAGAAAGTCACACTGTGCTTTCTAGGACAGTGATGGGGAACCTTTTCGGCACCAAGTGCCTAAACCAGAATGCGCATGTGTGCACCTGCACACATGCCCCAGAAACTCAGAGACCAGTTGGCCAGTGCGCATGCATGTGCTGGCCAGCTGGTCTTCATATGTGCCAGAGCCCCAGAAACTTGAAGACGACCTGGACAACTGGTCTTTGCACATGACAGAGTGCTGGAAACCCAAAGACCAGGTGGCCAGTGCGCATGCATGTGCTGGCCAGCTGGTCTTCGTATGTGCCAGAGCCCCAGAAACTTGAAGACGACCTGGACAACTGGTCTTTGCACATGACAGAGTGCTGGAAACCCAAAGACCAGGTGGCCAGTGAGCAGCTGGTCTTCGGATGTCTGGGGCTGCGACACGTGCAAAGATCAGCTGACCAGCATGCATGCATGTGCTGGAAACCAGAACAGCAGCTGGTGACGGAGGATGTGCCTACAGAGAAGGCTCTGCATTCCCCCTCTGGCATGCATGCCATAGATTCACCATCACAGTTCTAGGATCTTTGAACCAAAGCAAATCTTTGCGCTTGGCTTAATTGCCAAATAGCAGGCAGTGCAATTGCTTGGGCTGAAACACAACACATGCCAGAGAGTAGGAAAACATTAATGGGAGTACAGTACAGTGCAAAGTCCTAAGTTAAGGAAGGCAAATGAATTGGACATGTGGCAGGATTGATAGCCAAGGCTAGGATGAAAGGGGTCATGAAGAGAGCAAGGGGATAAGTAGCCGAGGCAATACTTATGAAATATGGCAGCATAGGGCCAGATTTGGGGTTTGAGAAACAAAAAGGGTACCTTTTACTGCTTCTTTCTTGACCAGGAACATGAGCAGAACAGAGCAGCTACCTAGGAGAGTGACCAACCAGATCAGCACCCAGTAGGTCCTGGGATCTGCATCAAAGTACAGAGAGCAGGAATTCAGTACAGGTGTCCCAGCCCACCTCTTTCTCTTCCTGTCATTTCCTCATTGGCTAAGGCTGAAGGCAAAGTCTTGGGCAGATAGTCCTGGCTTCACTTTAAGGTAGACTTCTTTGGGTGTCCAGGACCTAGGGGGAGTTGCCATCTTTAACTCTTGACGGGGTCTCATTTTTCCCAAAACAATTTTTGGGAGTCTTCTTAGAGGGGTAGCTCCAGTTGGGGGAGAAGTAGCAACTGTGGCTTTTGCACACCTTTATTTTGTGTGTCATTTGGACCCATTCCTGGATCAGGAGGCCCGGCTCATAATCGCTGATTTCTTAGTCACTTCCTGACGGACAACTGCAACACACTCTATATGTGGGGCTATTGTTAGAGATTCCCCCAGAAGTTTCAGCTGGTCCAGAACACAGTTTTGGAAACCATGTACATGCAGTTTAAGATACTCATGTTTCACCCGTGTGGGCTCCCAGTTTCCTTCTAGATGCAATTCAAGGTGCCGGTTTTCACATTTAAAGCCCTGTGTGGCATGGGACAAGGTTGTTTGAGATATCACCTCTCCCCAAGGGAGATTGTCCCATCAAACCAGATAGTGTGAGTGAGTTTCAGGTCTTCTCCATTAAACAGTGTTATTTGATAGGACCTAGGACAGTGATGGCGAACCTTTTTTGGCTCACGTGCCATAAAGGGGGGGGGGGGAGCACTTGGGCGTGCCACAACCATAATGCAACATGTGACACCCCCCCAGTGCACATGCGCATATGAGAGGCGGTCCCCCCATTTTTTGCATGCTCTTTTTGCCCTCCCCAGGCTCCCATAAAGACTCTAGAGCCTGGGGAGGGCAAAAAGAGCATGCAAAAAATGGGGGGACCGCCTCTCATATGCGCATGTGCACTGGGGGGGTGTCACATGTTGCATTATGGTTGTGGCACGCCCAAGTGCTCCCCCCCCCCTTTATGGCACGTGAGCCA